GTTTGTTGGTGTTGCACAGAAAGAAATAAATAATAAATTATATAATTACAAGGTGAAAAATATATATAACCTCTATTGAAAATAACAGGAGTGCAGAACTACAAAATATAGCACAATAACTAGTACACCCATTCATTCATTCTGCACGCCTAGTTTCGATTTTCATAATTGGTCAACTAGAAGCAGCAAGTAATAAGATTTTGTAATAATAAGAAATATATAAATATTTGTGGTGCCTCTAAATCTAGGTTCACCCATTGAGTTAGGTATAATTTTGAGAAAATACTAAATTTATAAAAATGATAAGTGATGCATAAACATCCTTAATGCAGAATTTAATTTTAATGCCTTTAATTGAAAAGTCGTATTTATTCTGTGTCCCTATTAAGTTTTTAGAATTTCTAAACAACTTTTCCAAAATATTGAGAGCAAATCTTGATTACACTCACTGGACATTGAGAAACTATGATATTTATTTCTCTGCGATCCCAGTAGTAAACTTACAATTTTTACTGGGAAACATCCTTTTTTACAACAGACAGATAGACCCACCCATACTCTTACAGACATATAATCTTATTGTTTGCAAATTACTTTTTTCTCTTCTGTTCTCCTGTTCGTTTTTAGAGTTTGTTTTAAATTTTGCGTTTTGTGCCTATCTGACGTTTTTGTGGCGCACAGGAAAAAATATAACAAAAAATATACTATTATTTAAAGTAACAGATATGTAGAACTACAAAAAATGTGCAGAGTAACCGGTACACCACTCATTAATTCGGCACACCTAATACCTACTTAGTGGCTAATGCATAAACTAGTAGGTAGGAAGAAGTAATAAGTCACGTCACTTAATAGGAAGTAATTATTTTAATCTCTAAATAAATTGGGAATTCTTTTTCAAAATTCGCTAAATTAAAAAATATGGCAGTTTTGAGGAGATTTATTTAAAAAAGGAAAGAAATTAAGCGAACAAGTGATGCACACAACCAATGTAATGGGAGCACAGAATTTTTAGAAGTAAGTATTAAACTTTTGGTGCTTCTGATTCACAATTCTCTGCTCCTGTTATAAAAATGGTCTAACAAATCAATCGGTAGAGGGATGGATGGATGGACGAAGAAAGAATGGAAAAACCAAATTAGCTTCTAACTCGCAATTCTGCGCGCCTGCCATAAATCAGCAGAGGAATGGATAAAAGGATTTACCATACAAAGTCGCGAAAGACAATATGATTAATTAATAATTAATTACACATTGAGTAGCGTAGGTGTTGTTGGCCCTATGCGGCAGATTGCCAAAGAAAGATTAAAAATTTGACCTTCTATTTTTTCTGCGACGCTGGCATTTCGTTTCCAGTTTTCACTAGGAATATTTATGAGAAAGAGAGATAGATATACATTTAAATATTTTATGTTAATAAGAACATATCTAACTTATTCTGTGTCCCTATTACGTTTTTGGATTTGTAATAAAAAAAAACCTTCCAAAATAAAGAGAAGAAAGTCAGTCGTTCGTGTGCCACCAAATCGAACAAGATTTTTTTGTAACGTAACAGGAATACATAACTGCAAAGCAGTTGCTACAATGAATAAATAAATTCTTATCTACCATTCATTAATTCTGATCACCAAGCAAGACAGGTCAGGTTCCTAGTTGCTGTTGATTTCATAAATAGTGAGTGATCAACAAGTAATACGGACAAATTGAACAATATTAAAATTTTTTTGTTGCCTGCAAAATATGTACGCCTATTACGTTAGGTATCGCTTAATAAATTCTTAAAATCGCATTTTTAAAAAAAGTAAGATCCTAACCAATCCAAATGAACAGCAAAGTGTGCCGGTGGTGGAACAACCTCAGTGTAACAGGGTCATAGAATTTTTAAAATAGTTATAATAATAAGTAAGCCTCCCTGATGACAATCCTGCGCCCCCAATACATGACGGATTAACGAATTTACTTTTAAAACTGTAAGGTAAGGAAGAAGGATAGGATAGATATGAAAAATAAAATTGTGAAAGATCAAGATGGCATATGGATAGATAATAAAATAACACTTTGGCAACATCCATATTTTCTGAATGCCTATTACAATAGCAACAAAGTCGAACTCTATACACATGTTTTATTGAAATAATAATCAATCAATCAATCTTTGTGGGAATTGTAAAAATAGCTTTTTGCTTTCCTTTCTGGGCGCCTGTTGTATTGATAAGATCTTATGATTTTTTGGGTCTTATGCCTACAAAGGGTTAAATATCATTAAATACGACCAAAAGTGCCTCATCGTTAACGATTTTTATTGGTAACTATATATTTCATATATTTTCTTGAACCAAAAAATATCAATCATTATTTGAAATTTTTTTTATTAATAAATTCTCCAGCAAATTAGACATTGAAAGCACCCGGGGTGCAGAAATTTAAAGGATATTTGATTTACAACTAAGGACTACAACTAAATTGAACATTTCTGGGCTCCTAACAAAGCTTGTACAAGGTGAGTGGAAAAATAATAAGGAATGAATCAAATGGTTTTTTTAAAAACAAACGATTCATTCTGGGCGCCTGGTGATATTTGCAAATTTTCATTAAATAAGCCGTGGCTCAAAAAATCGAAAACCTGCCAGTAACTGAAAATTGAATTCAAGTTTATTCAAATAATCAATCAATCAATCTTTGCTGGAAGTGTAAAGAGATTTCCTTTTGCTAATCTGGGCACCTGTTATAATGATAAGATTTCAAGATTTTTTGGGCCTTATGCCCACAAAGGGTTAAAAAATATTATTTTAATACGACCGAAAAATGCCTCATCGTTAACGGTAAATTCTCTAGCAAATTAGATATTAAGAGTACCAGGCGTGCAGAAATAGATGCTTGTATAAGGTGAGTGAAAAAATATGAACGAATCAAATGTTTTTTTTTTTTAAGAACAAACGATTTATTCTGGGCGCCTGGTGATATTCACAAATATTTTTTAAACAAGCCGTGGCTCAAAAAATTGAAAACCAGCTACTAACTAAAAATACTTTTTAATACAATTATTACGCTTTTTACGAAGTCAAATATTGGCAACACTGATTGAGACCCCTAAAACCATAACAAACTCATAAAAACACTGCCAACATCCATATTTTTCTGAATGCCTATTATTATAACGGCAACATAATCGAATTCAAGTTTATTCAAAAAATCTCAATCAATCTTTGCGGGAAGTGTAAAGAAATTGTCTTTTGCTGATTCTGAGCGCCTGGTATTTTTATGAGATTTTAAGATCTTTTAGGTCTAATGCCCACGAAGGGTTAAATAATATTTGATATGACCCAAAGTGCCTCAACGTTAACAAGGATTTTTGTCAAATTCTCCAAATAAGACATTAAGAGATTAAGTTAAAGGAGATTTGATTTACAACTAAGCACTACAATTGACTTGAACATATCTGGGCTCCTAGCAATGCTTGTGCAAGGTGAGTGGAAAAATATGGACGAATCAAATGCCTTTTTAAGAACAAACGATTTAATCTGGGCGCATGGTGACATTCACAAATATCTCTTAAACAAACCATGAGTAAGTGAGTGACTCAAAAAATCGAAAATCAGTAGTGTAAGTAACTAAGAATATTTTCCATTCAAATTATTACGATCTTAAAAAATAAAATATTGGCAACACTGTTTTAGACTCTCAAAGAGCATAACAAACATTTTGGTAACATCCATATTTTTCTGAATGCCTATTATAATAGCAACAAAGTCGGATTCTATACACAAGGTATATTTTTTTGCGGCAAATGTGTAGAAATTGCCATTTGCTAATTCTGGGCGCCTGTTATATTATTTATAAGATTTTTCAGGCCTTATGCCTTTCAAAAATATCATTTGACATGACCAAAAATGCCTCATCGTTAACGATTTTTGTTGGTAGCTCAAAAAATAAGTTAGAGCTACAACAGGTATCTTTGGACGAAATCCGTTTCTGGACATTAGGAGTCGACTTTACAGTGATTACACAATTTGTTCCAAACTTGATACATCACAATATTTGTTACAAAAATTATATTAGATTTAGAGATGGGCAAGATCGGTCCATAGTTCAAAATTTTGAATTTATACAAATGTTATACTGTGGGATGTGATAATGGACACCATTAGTCCACTTATTCTTGTACGCCTCCCTCAAAAGGTGAACCAACGTTCGGAGTAAGTATAACTCCCTTAAACCCATTCATTGCGATGGCATTAACATTCAATTTTTGCACGTTCCACGACCTCACGATTTTGGCCTGCTGATTGAAAGTGGTAACATATCGGACCGTCGTAGCGATAGGACCTTCCTCCAAAAACGTTCAAATTTTTTTGAAAATACTTTAGTCCAAACTTGATTCTTATCTTTCAAACTTAGGTATGAAGCAAATATGGAAACTATCGACTCCCTATCTTACACTATAATTTCTCTGGGAAATTTGTAAAAAAATGTGAGAAGGAATTGCAAGAGGAAATTCGAACCCTTCTTAATATCTTAAAATGTGGTGTATTGCCCTTCCGTTTGAAAATATATTTAGTCCTTAGAAGATCTAACATTTACCCATATTAATTGCAGAACAAAGATAGGTAAGCCATATTTTAATCTAGGCCTATAGTATTTCTTTCTCATAGCGAAATATGGGGATTATTCCAAAACGTGTAACATCCTTTTTGTAATTTAAATGTCTGTGAAGCTATATCGTAAATATTTAAAACACTTTTGGTATTTCATTTGATGGTTCCATAGACAAATAAACTCGCATGGCTCAATTGAAAAAAAAGTTTACGTAAATCAAAAAATATAGTTTATGGCATTTCTGACAAATATATTTATAAATACAAATATAAATAATATATAAATTAGAATACATCCAGACATTATTGTCATTGCCACAAAAATTGTGTTGATTGCATTTCAATTTGTAATTGAACTTACCTCTAATCAAAAACCGTTTATAACAAATGAAACATCGATATAGCTTTTTTTTATTTATAAAAAAATACATTTTTTATTTGTTCACAGTTCACTATATATAAATAAGATTCGTACACGACAAAAAAAAAACAACGAGTCTACATTTAAGGCATTTCTGTAGTTCAGATACATTTATGGACATAAACATTAGGGAAATATAAGTAAAGAATTTATCGGTTATAAGAAATTGCCCTTATTCAACATTAAATAATATAATATAGGAGAGAATTATACGGCAATATTCGCATTTGAAGCTAACAAATAATTGTCTCTTATATTCAAGCAGAACCAATTGGTTGTGACATTAAACCAATCAATAAATAATAGAAATATAAAATGAAAACCACAAAGAATAACGTTGAAGAATTGTAAAAGATAGTGGACTATAACTAAGGTATTTCAGAACAATGATGAATAAATAAAACGGGGTTTACAGAATTAAAAACAAATTACTTCCAGACTGGACTATCGGACAACTAATTGATCCATCGTAAAGATAAGTTCTCGATTTTTAATCGTCTATGCATGTAATATTCTTGACTGGCTCCTCTTAACTCAACTTGCACCCTGTCAATCACAAATAATTTTGCTTTTTGCAAAGATGATTCTGGACGAGATATTATATGCATCCTTAGACTTTTTTGATTTTCTGTTTTTTTAAAGATCGTGTCTCAAGACTTTCTTTTGGTATCAGTCGTTTATAAAAAATATTGAGCTTCTGTTCAAATAATCTTATTTTCTTGTCTAAAACTCCTATATATTCGCCTAAAAAAATCCCTCCCGTTTTTCTACCTAGATTTAGTTGTCTACTAAAGCACCCTTTGAGAATGTTTCAGGATGTCTTGTAGGTCTATGTAGACTCCATCTGTTGTCTACAAGACTTCTTCTGGTCGTCTATAAACCGACTGCTTATCAAAAGAAAATAAACGCTAAAAAAACATCACTTCTATGAGTGTTTTTTTTTTTTAATTTTTTTAATTGGAAAACAAACAATTTTTCTTTCGCATTCTGATTTTTTGAAAATAATATTACAGCCCCTTAAATTTCCCTCAGATGTTTTCTGTAAAGACTCCTCTTATCTCTCTGAAAATTCTTCTTTCAAGTTGCTTATAAAGATACCATGGAGGTCTTTTTAAAATATGCCATTTTTATCATCTACAAAGGCGCTTTTCTGTCGGCTCTAAGGAGACCTTTCTGAATAGATTTTTTTGGTGGATATTAAATAAAACTTCATGGCCGACTTCAGTGATCAAGTCAAAATAACTTTCGGAGCTCTCTTCGGGGTGTTTGCAAAGTCATTGGGATCCTGTAAAGATGACTTCCTTGATGTCTATAAAGTCCATATTTTAAACTTTATTAGTTGACAGTCACTTAAAAATTATCATAAATCGTAGTCCACTCTGCAAGTAATTTTTTCTGAACCTTCTATTTAAGACAGACTTTAAGAAAATATAGAATATATGAATACAAAATTTTCTTTAAAAAATAATAGAAAAGAAGAGAGAAAACAAAAAAACGTTTAAATCTAGACATTACATTCTTCTTAGCATAAAACGAAAAAAAAACCTTATTTTTCTCCTTCCCTCATCTAGGGCACACAATTCGTTGCAATGGCTATGGGCCATGTCACTGGACCCTTTTGCACAATATCCTCCATAAGTTGTTTGATTCGTATGAAACGCCGTTTAAATTCCAAACCACAACCCTTCGAGAGGCGGAAATCTAACAGAATTTTACCATCCATTTCAATGAGATGAGCCTTAAATACTAAATTCAATTTCGATTTATCAATCGTACTGATGGTCACAACCAGATTATCTTCACAAATTTTATAGGTATAGCCCAGTTTTTCGATGGTGGCCACCAAACGTTTGAGCGTATCATCGTGTCGCGTCGAGACAAAGAATCGTGTCATGCGTCGCACCAAACGTTGGAAGAGATTCTGTGATGCGGATTGAGTTTGATTCATTTGGGTGCATAGCAGCAAGTCATCCAACATGGCTGGTTGTGAGAAACAGAAACCCAAACGATGTTCACGTGCTGCGGCGGGGAGGTTATCGACCTCTTGAGGATTAGCAGGAGCTTCAAAATCATTGCGGAATACTGGCAGGGGTTGTGAGCAATAGTTGCGTGATATGGAATCATCGAGATTGTTACTGCCACTGTGATTACTTGACATTTGCCGGGGCCTCTTGGCCTTGGGTGAACGTATCTCCAAGGCTGCTGCGGAATCGACCAAGTCACGAGCACGATCTGTAGGATAGACAAGTGGATGGGAGTTAGTTTCGAAATTGTAGTCCTTTTTGAAAGGGAGATTATTTTTTAAAAATTATAAAAACAAAACAGAATTGCTGAACATAAAACGCAAAAATCATTTGGTTTTTGGTAATAAAGCTCTATGGAATCTGAAATACACCATACAGCTAAAATCACCAAAGATCAAATAACATGCAAACTCAAAATAAAAAGCAAAAACACAGGCACACAAAAGCTAAATTAAAAAATGCAAGAAAATATTTATTTAAAAAAAAAACAAAACTTAAAAACATTAGAGTTTAAAATTGAGACCCGTGAGACGCCCTTCAGGACGCCATTAGAACTTAAAAAACACTTGGAGATAAAATCGAGACCCTCGAAAACGCCCTTCATAGAGACGCGTTTCACACGACGTCTATAGAAACTCCTATCAGGACGCCTACAGAGACGCCTATCAAGACGTCTATAGAGACGCCTTTCAAGACGTCTACAGAGATGCCTTTCAAGACGTCTATAGAGACGCCTTTCCCAGGACGTCTATAGAGACGCCTTTCCCAGGACGTCTATAGAGACGCCTTTCACAGGACGTCTATAGCGACGCCTTTCACAGGACGTCTATAGAGACGCCTTTCACAGGACGTCTATAGAGACGCCTTTCACAAGACGTCTATAAAGACGCCTTTCACAGGATGTCTATAGAGACGCCTTTCTTAGGACTGCTATAGAGACGTCTTTCACGGAACATCTATAGAGACGTCTTTCACGGAACATCTATAGAGACGCCTTTCACAGGACGTCTATAGAGACAGCCTTCAGACATCTTCAGGACTTCTATAGAGACGCCTTTTAAGGTGTCTATAGAGACGCCTTTCAAGACGTCTATAGAGACGCCTTTCAAGACATCTATAGAGACGCCTTTCAAGACATCTATAGAGACGCCTTTCAAGACGACTATGGAGACGCCTTTCACAGGACGTCTATAGAGACGCCTTTCAAGACGTCTATAGAGGCGCCCATAGGGGCTCCATTTAGGACCCCAATAAAAATGCCTCTCACGACGTCTATAGAGACGCCTTTCAGGACCTCTATAGAGACGCCTTTCAGGACCTCTATAGAGACGCCTTTCAGGACGTCTATGGAGGCGCCTTTCAGGACTTTCAGTTCTGGATTTCTCTCTTTCAGAGGTCTTTCAAGGCACCTACACATAAGACTTTGAAGCCTTAAGTAAAGAAGCCTCCCAAGCGTGCTCTCTTCAAATCGTTGTCGTTTTTTTCTTAATTTTTTCGGCTGTTTCAGCGCATTGTCAATGCTTTGGTAATCTAGCTTTATGAAGGTATCAAATCTATCATACAGCTAAAGCGCCAAAGCTATGATAAGATGCGCATATCTGTAGAGATTTTGGTTTCTTTTCACGTTTATGAAAATATTTCACCATTACTTTCAAATTTACCTTGAGTTCTGGGAAAACGTTAGGCAAGGTACAAAGTGAACCCCAGATTTTTTCTAAAATAACATTGAGAGTCACTAAGTACCTGAACAAAAGTTTTCCGATCAGATGAAAGAAAATAAAATTTCTTTGGAGCGATTGAACATCCCACACATATTTTTGATGCAGAACTTAGAATATGTCCTTTACAACAATAAATATATCACATCACAAATATTTTTTTGAAACTTTTCAATAATTTCACACTTCACTTTCAAATTAAAAAAAAAAATGGAATTTTGAAAAGTCCTTACCATTATCGGCGAATTCCATGTGACACCATTTGTGGGCCATAATTTTGTCCAGGGTCAGACGATGGCTAGGATTAGTGGCCAGCACTTTGCGCAGCAGGGAAATAGCCAATGTATCCAATTTACTCCAGGGTGTTTGTGTGGACCAACGATCATTATCCTTCCAATTGATAAACTCCTGGCACTGGACAGAAGGTTCATCCCACGGCAATTCTAAATTGAAAATAAAAAAAACGAAATTATTAAACTTTGTTATAAAAATCCACAAAACAAAGAATTTTTTTAAATAATTTGATGAGTGGTGATATGCCGGGTTTGCAACGAGAGGTGTTATTTGAGGTCTCCGGTATTTCCCAGGTATAAAAAATGAACATCTAATAGTTTATCTGAAGAATTTATATTTTTAAATACCAAAATAACACCCCTTATTGAAAATATTATTATCATATTATGATGCTGATTGCATTGCAATTGCTGGGTGAGGAGGGTGATGATGTCCATCCATGGTTATTAAGATTTTCTATTTTGCTTAATTTGTATTATTATTAAATATTTTTTTTAATTTCATTTGATGGTGCAGTAGTAGTTTATTTGGTGGTAGTGGTGGTTGGCAAGCAATTTAAGCTGGAGCTTTGGTATAAAAGCTTTAGATGATATTTAAAAATTATTTTCCAAACAAGAAAATCTACAGCTAGAATACCAAAGAAACAGCAAAAATGAACGATTTTGTGAATAGAACCAAACAATAATTTAAAAAAACATAAATGTTAATGGTGATTTAATTTTTTTTTTGCATTTCTTTCTTTTAAGTCATTTTTTTTTTTTTTTGCTTTGATTGTGTCTTGTTATTTTTTTTATTTGGCCATATAACAGTGATGATAACAATGACAATGGTGACACACACACGATGATAACATATAATAGTAATAATATGTATAAAATCTATAGAAATAAAAATGTATATATAGTCTAACCATTTTTAAACTAAAAATTTTAAGGTAATGTTGGCATAGATTTTAATAGATTAAGAACACAGAACTGAACAACCTTTAAATAAATGATGTCAATTATAAATGTCCCCTTATGAACCCAATTTTAACACTCCCTGGGGACAATTTTTCTTCTGCATGGACTGAAAACAAATCTAGCACAACCTGCAACAATCTGCTATTATCAAAATGTTATTATTACAATGTTTTATATAAAAATTATCTAAGACCTTCAAAGTTAATTTTAATTAGTTTATAATCTCAAAACGGGAACCTGTATTGAAAAAATTTAGGGGCATTTGGCATCCACTAAAAATGCAAGGAAATAAACTATAGGTTATCAAGGTAGGAATTATAGCTGAAACCTTGAAAACACCAATCTCATGGAAAATCCTAACGAGGTAGTAGACCTTTATATAGAGACAATTTTCCTAAAGGAACATGGAGAACTAATAATACCAAAATAGCTAATATTATAAAAAAGTATTCTGAAGCCTTCAAAGTACTTAAACGGGGAAGACACTTCAAAATAACGAAAATCATAGGTTATGCTTACTATATAGTTTGGAGACCTTAGTATCATTTGGTATTAAAATAAAAGAAAAAAATTATTTTCCCTTAAAAACCCTTAAAAATAAATATTAAAAATCCAGAACTCGAAACCACTTTAAAAAGTCATGGTAGACTCTTTCGGGTTTTCAAAAATATTTTTAGGAAATCTTCGTTTCTAAATCTAAATGACTTACATAGTCTATATTTTAAAAATTCAAATTTCTGGTCATTCGGTATAAAAAAAAATATACGTTTCTGGCTTCAAAAATGTTAAGACGCATTTTAGGAGGCAAATTAGGAAGTCTACAGTGACGCCATCTAGGACGCCTACAAAGACGCCTTCTAGGACATATACAAAGGGGCCTTTCAGGACTTCAATAAAGACGACTTTCAGGACGTCTATTGAGATGCATTACACGACGTCTTTAGAGACGTCCTATAAAGACGCCATTTAGGACGTCTATAAAGATGCCATTCAGGACCTTCACAAAGACGACTTTCAGGATGTCTATAAATATGCCTTTTAGAACTTTTATAGTGACGCCTTTAAGGAACGTCATTCGGGACGGCTATGAAGAGCTTTTAGGTCGTTTATAAAAACTTATTTTTGCACGACTATAGGGACGATTTCAGGACATCTATAAAGATTTAAAAAAAATCCACGAAATCATGTTTAGAAAATCTTCTTTTTTGACCCTATTTTTTAAGAAAAATATATTTTCTGTTTTTTTTAATATATTTTGGGGTTTCGAAAATAATTGTAAAAAATAGTTTTGTTACTTCCAAAAATATATTTGCTTGAAAATTTACATTTGTAAAAAAAGGTCCCCAAAAATATTTTTATAATGTTTAAAAAGGTTTCTATTCTGACACTTTAGAGGCTGTCACGAAAAATTGACATTTTTAACCTCGCCACAGAAATGTTTGTAAACAAAACATTCTTCAGCTTTCCGAATTATTTTTAAAAAATTCACGATTTGTCCCTTAAATAATTCTAGATCAGAAAAATTAGTTTTTTTTTTAAACCTAAAGAGGCAATTTTTTTTATTTGATTTAGATATAAAGTTTCTAAAACTATGTTAAATATGAAAACTTCAAAAAAATGGTTTAAGAAATTTCATCATTCTTGGTGAAATCCTCTTAAAAATCTGAGTTTCAGTTGAATTTTCTGGTTTTAAAAGTAAATTTTATATTCACCAAAAAAAAAAGCTTTTCTAAAAATCCATGATACTGGCCCATCCATTGTTAGAATTTTTAGAACTTTGTTAGAACTTTAAATCAAAATTTATTTTATTTATTTATTTAATCTTATTATTAGTATTATAATTATTATTGTTTTTTTTTTTTTTTAATTAACACAATTCTGAAAATAATCTCGATTTTGACTCTAAAGCTCTAACACTTTTTAAACACCAATAAAACATTTAAAAAAAGTCCACGATTGCAATGATTTTTTGCATAAAAGTATTTACTTTGAATAATAAACAAACGTTATTTTTATAAAAACAACAATAAAAGGATTAAGCCTGACCATTTTGCAACCATAATTTTTTTTTTTTGAAAATGTGAATTTTGGCTAAACATTAAATTCTTTTAATTTCTCTCAAATTTGTCAACTTGTGTAAATGTAATAGAGCATAGCATAATACATACATTTATTTATATTTTATTTGTAGCAATACCCAAAATGTGCTTCCGGCACAGATAAATGCAGAAGAAGACTATAGATAGACACATCGTTGCAACTATCTTTAAAACTGATGGAGGAAGTTAAAGAGATGTGCACAAAAAAACAGCATTTAGATGTTCATATATTTTTAGATTAATTAAAATTGCACTTTTATAGATTTTCTGGCCAGTACTTTGTTATTTAATATTAAGTTGTATACAATAACACATTTATGAAGTTAGATATTATTTTGTACACAACAAATGGTGGGAGACATGCAAAGTGCTATGTTATTTTTGAATGACATTTATTTTATAATAAATATAAAAGATAATTTAAACAAAATTTTAATTGGAATTGGGAATTAAGTTATTAAAAGAAGAGGTAAATGCGGCAATCGTTTGCAGAAACAATATTCTTTATTAAAATATAAAAGGCTAGTAACAAAAGACGGTGCTATCTCACACACAAGCAACGAAATAATTGCTCCTTTAAAAATTGGTCCCGGGCTCTTTATTATTTATTATCACCATACCTTGAGACTTATTGCTATGGGTTCACTACGTGAAATATAAAGTCTATACCAACAGGTGGCGCCGATTCAAAATCCTTTAGATGTAATTTGTGAGGCTATTGAGGACATATTGTCCTTCATTAAGGAATTAAGAATGGATTTGTTTTAGATTTATTTAGAGGGACTAAGCGTGGATTTATTTTCTAATGATTTTAATATTTTGTCCTGAAATTTTTTTTAAATATTTTTTTCTGGTTTTTTTAAGAATTTATGTGAGGAACAAAGTGTGGATTTTTTCTGAGGCCAAGGCGTTGACTTTTTAGGATTTTTTGTATGTGAGGCTATCGGCGACATTAACAAGCGAAATAATAAAGACCTGATCATTTATTTAGAAAAAACGGTAATTTCTTTCGGCCGGGTCGAACTTTGAATAGCCTCCACCATTTGGAACGAATTTGGAAATTTAAAAAAAAATAAAATCCGTTAAAAATACTATTAAAATCTTTAAAATACCGAATATAGGCCATTACAATATTCAAATACGAAATTCCAAAAAATTCCGCTAAATAATGTACCTAAAATCGTCAAAATACCGAATATAGGGAGGTGCCGTTATATGGGGGCTATACGAAGACCTGTATCTGCATAGACAATTTCATGTCACAGGCTGTAGTACTTATTAGGAACTTCAAATACAAAATTTCAAACAATTCCGGTTAATATTGTCGCTAAAATAATCAAAATACCGAATATACCGAATACGACGACATGAGCCTGTATACACAACTTTTTTAATTGCTGTAGTACCCACTAGGAACTCTAAATATGACATGTGAAACGATTCCGGTGAATAATGTTGCTGAAATCATCAAAATACCGAATATCGGCAGTACCGTTGTATGGGGAATAAAAGATATCGTGGATCTATATCGACAATTCTCTTTCAGGAGGTAAAATACTTAGAAATAACTTCTTATTTGGATTTTCAGATAATTCCATTAAAAAAGGAAGCTAAAATCATCCAAATATCGAATATATGGATGTACCGTTATATGGGAGACATACAATATCGTGGAATATCGGAAGGAACGCCCTGCGTGGATTTTCAGACAATTCCATTGAAAAATTTTGGACACAATTATCAAAGTACCGAATATCGGGGGTACCGTTATATGGGGGCTATATGATATCGTGGACCAATATAACCCATCTTCGAACTTGGCCTACCTGCGGACAAAATACTCATCTGTGGAAAATGTTAGTTTCCTATCTTAATCCGTTTTGACTCTAGCGTGATTACAACAGACGTACGGACGGACAGGGCAAAATCGTCATAGAATGTTACGCTGATCAAGAATATATAAACTTTGTTAGGTTTAAAATTATTAGTTCAATGAGTTACATACTGTGTATGGTGGAGGTTATAAAAAATAGTTAAAATTTTAAATAGTTAAAAATGTATGTGTACGCCTACAATTATGCTACAAAAAAGCTATGATAATGGAAAGTAAAGAAAATGCCACTTTACTTATGTCTCTAATCTGGCCTTTTGGAAAGACGAGATAATTTGTCTTAAGGTAAGGGTACATAAACAGCTTGGCATCATGGTTGGGCACATTAATGTCAAATTATAAAGGGAAACGACGGCAGAATTCGAATTCGGCTCTGGTATTCCTTTATGATATGTCCATGACCAGACTTCAAGCTGTTTATGTACTTATCCCTTTAGTCCTTACGGATTTAAAGAAATTTCCTCACAAATTTTAAAGTTTCTAAAATTTCCTATACTCCTCCTTAAACTCTTCTATAACCATTATTCTCTTTTTTTCCTTATATTTCTGGTACTCGATGAAATTTTAATTAAAACTTAAACAACATTTAACCTCAAAATGCCATAAACTATGTCCCTAGAAAAACAAAGTTAAACAAAATTCCTTAAAATAAGCCACTCTGTGAAAACAAATGCACAAAAACAAAACAAACAAAAAAAAAAACAATTAGAAAAACAAAAAAACGAAACTTGACAAAGAAATAAAACACAACACTTGAAGTTTTCTTCTTGGAACGATGGATGTTAAAATGATGATAATGATGATACGACGCACTTCTTTTTTTTTAAATGCCATGCTGGAAAGTTGATTGCTCAAGTTGGTGTGGTGGTGGGTGGTGAGCCAATCAACTAGTTTTCCACATCCAACCGAGCCGAAACAACAAAAACATCAGTAGTGCGGAAAAGTGCAAGTAAGTAAGGAAGGAAAACATGAAGAAAATTAATGAAAACTGAAAAGTTAAGATGAGAGCCGCAAGCAAGCAGCTAATGAAGATAACGCCAAGTAAAAGAAGAAGATAATGAAGAAGTCATACAAACTTACCACCAGCCAACATTGTAACCAGGATAATGCCACACGACCAAATATCTGCTGGCTGGGCATGATAGGGCTTTAGCAGGACTTCAGGGGCCACATAGGGTAGGGTGCCACAGCGTTTATCCAACAACCGTTCCTTGCCTTTGCATCTAAAAAAAGGGGAATTAAAAACCATTAATTAAATTTGTTTCCAGGAAAAACAATTTGAAATAAACGATAAGAGAAACTATCGATTACGGCAAGGGAATATTGATTTTGAATAAAAATATTGGGTATTTTAATATAAAATGAAAATATTATAAATATTAACGTAGTTATCGATTATATTAAATATTGAAAAAGTTTAGTGATTTGTAATATAAATTAAAAATATTTTGAATTGTCTGTGTCAATTCAATATTTTCTTTTCAGCCGTAATAGATATTTTTCTCATACTCATTTGATATTTGTTTTCAAATATGTTCTAACTTTTAATTCTTCTTTAATTTTCTTCTTAGGTGATAAGTTGTAGTGTACCTAAATACCTAAACATGGTGGCCATTCCAAAATCGGATATCTTGATATTGTCATGTTCGTCTAGTAGCAGGTTTTCTGGTTTCAAATCACGATGTGTAATGCCACGTTGATGCAGATACTGGACACCGGACAGGAGCTGTGTGAAATACCGCTGAGCTTCGTGTTGCGGCATCCCGACATCGGGTTCTGTAAAAAAATAAGAAAAAACAATATTATTTTTTTTGATATTTAAAAAATTATTTTAAATACTAATAAAAATTTGATCTGAGGAAACCAAAAGAACGAAATAAAAATGGTAACTATTGCAATTAACGTAATTTGATACCAAAATAAGATTTTGAAGGAACAAATATAGGATAAAGGACAACATACTTTATTTAGCTTAACTAACCTTTTAAGCAGTTACGAGAAATTTGAAAGTACAATTAGGGATATTCAACAATTTTTACCCAGATTTCTCCGAGGGAGGCTCTAAGCGCAGACTTTTTAAGATTTTTTTGGGGGAAATGCCAGCGCTCTATTTATTCACTTTTTAAAATTATTAAAAAGAGCATTATAGAGTTTATTTTTGACATATTTTTTAAGAAGCTACCAGGGAGTAATCTGATCTACATTTGGTGGGACTACCAGAACTTTAATTTTTTTTCCCGCGTAAACAAAAGTGGATTTTTCTGAGGAACTAAGCATGCATTTTTAAGATATTCAACAATTTTTTCATTAGAAACCAAGTGTAAATTTTTTTGAAGAACTGAGCGTGAATTTCTTTTGTAATTTTTCTGAGAAACGAAGTGTGTTTTTTTAAGCAACTAGAAATATTTTTTAAGAATTTTTGTCCTGGGGGAATATCACGGGGATTCATCTAAGCGGGAATTTTTTAAATTTAGTTTGGCTCTAAGATTGGATTTTTAGATTTTTTCTGATAATTTTTTGGAATGGATTTCTAAGTTTTTTTTCTGATGGACTGTCAGCGCTCTAAGCGTGGTTTTTTCAGCGTTTTTTCTGAGGTATAAAATCCGAATTTTTTCTGAGGGACTAAGTATGGATTTTAAAAGATTTTTTTCGGATCGCTGCTAAAGGCCTGGACTTTTTAAGTTTTTTTAAGGGACTTGCATGCAGCGCTTTCAGCGTGGATTTTATCTGAGGGTGTATTTTAACTATCGGCCCTCTAAGCGTTAATTTTTTAGGATTTTTTCTGAGGGATTATCAGCGATTTAAGCGTGCATTTTTATTTTTTTTTTTTTTGTTTTCTGGGAGACCAAGGGTAGATTGTTTATGGATTTTTTCTGAGGAATTAAGCGTGAATTTTGCAGGATTTAGTCTGAGAGACACATAGTTTTTTTTTTTAGAAAATTGTTCTCTAAACTTATTTTTTTTTTTTAAATTTAGTCTGAGAGGATTTTTTGGAGTTTTTAGGATTTTTTCAGGCGGAATGTAAGCGCTCCATATGCCATTTTTTAAACATTTTTTCTGGGGTCTAAGAGTGTTTTTTTTTTGGATTGTTTCTCAAGGGCCCAATCCCGATTTTTTTTGGATAGGGATTTTAGAATAAGGGATTATTAGCGCTGTAAGCGTGGATTTTTTTAGGATCTTCCTCTAAGAGTCTACCAGGACTCTAAGCGTGGATTTTTTAGCAGGGATTATCAGCGCTCTAACCTTGGATTTTTTAGGATTTTCCTCTAAGGGTCTATCAGGACTCTAAGCGTGAATTTTTTCGCAAGGACTATCTGCGCTCTGAGCGTGAATTTTTTAGGATTTTCCTCTGAGGGTCTATCAGGACTATAAGCGTGTTTTTAGGACTTTTTCGCAGATACTATCAGCGCTCTAAGCGTGGATTTTTCAGGATTTTTTTAGCATTTTCCACTGAGGGACTAACAGGACTGGATGGAGCCTGGATTTTTAAGGATTTCTCCGAACTAAACGAGGACTCAATTTTTTATGGATTTTTAAGATATTATTCTGAGAACAATTGGCGTTCTATGGCATTGTCGATAGTCTACAAGTGTTCTAAGATGGCATTTTAAAGTTCTTTTGTTAGATTTTTATTTTGGATTTTTAAGATTTTTTGCCTTTTTACCAAAAATTATAAAAATATTATAAAGCTAACTAATTTTTTTAATCGTTACATTTTATTTTTTTCTAAAGGAACTATTTTAACGATTTTTCTAGGGAACTAAGAGTGGAGTATTATTAATTTTTTTCCTAATGAAATATGCATGATGATGATGATGATTATTATTATTATTATTATTATTATTATTATTATTATTATTATTATTATTATTATTATTATTATTATTATTATTATTATTATTATTATTATTATTATTATTATTATTATTATTATTATTATTATTATTATTATTATTATTATTATTATTATTATTATTATTATTATTATTATTATTATTATTATTATTATTATTATTATTATTATTATTATTATTATTATTATTATTATTATTATTATTATTATTATTATTATTATTATTATTATTATTATTATTATTATTATTATTATTATTATTATCATTATTTATTTATTTATTTATCTATTTTTTTTATTATTTATTTTTTTGAGAAGCTATTAAAATTGTGTTATTATATTTTGAAAAGTTTGGTTGTGATTGTAAAAAAATTGAAAACCAAACGCCAACTTCAAACTCAAACAAAACATTATCAATATCCTGTCGTTGTTGGAGATGTGTTGTGGTGTGCAAACTTTTTTCCGAACAGGAAACCAAAGCTGAAAAAAACGTTTATTAGTTTGCAGCGCGTGTTGTCATGTTTGTACAAAGGATATTTTATGCCAATACAAAATCATGCAATAACAAGGACGCACAAGGACTCGTCGACAAAACGTTAAAAATGTAATTTTTTCGCAAATAGCCAGCAGTAGTAGTAGTAGTTTTAACGACTTGTAACATAACCAGCCAAATAACCAACCAGTCAATGGTCATTTTCGGGGAAGGGTAATAGTTAGTGGATGACTTGGTATTACGGATTTTAATGGGGAATTTTAAAATGATGGGGAAAATTAACTTCCAGATTTGTTTTCTTTATATTTTTTAAATTAAATAATAAAAAATGTAATAAAATTGAGCTCGAGGTTATTAAACTTAAATTGGAATAACTTAAAATAAAGATCGAATAAAATAACTAAAAATCAGAAAAAATATATATTCAACCTTTATATATTCAACCAATTCTGGGCAACATAAAAATATATAAAAAAGCCTCATAAGAAATCCACATTTTTTTTTTTTTTTTTGATATTTGGACAAGGGAAATTGGGAAATCTTTAAATTTATCAAGGGAATTCAAAACCCCTTCAAATTTTTACAAAATACACGTCTCAATTAAAAAATCTATAATATTTTTGTAATATTTTAAGAAAAAAATTTTAAATTTTTTAATTTAATTTAAAAAATTTTAAAATTTAATTTTTATTTTAAATAGTTGTAAATTTCATATCGACAACCCTACGAGAGCCATTCACACACACACACACACATGCATCCTTCAAAAGAGTAATTCGCCGAAAATTTAATATAATTTTTAATTTGTTTGCTGCGTGATATTACACAAAATAGAATTTGGAGAAGGTCATCATATGATGAAACCCTAACTGGCAACCCATAACATTTCGAGCAGCAGATGTGATGAGATTTGAGATGAGAGAAACAACAAAAACAATTGCTTTAATTATTTTCGGAAAAATATCAAATGTTTTAAACACACATGACCATAATTTAATAAAAATTGGTTGATAAGTTTCATTATCATGTTTCGTCGTTTAGATTGGATTCTGCAGTGTCAGTTTTTATGAGGATATTATTTTTAGAAATTTTTCAATTTTCTAAATTATTGCAATAAAGGAAAATGTTAATTTTTTTAAATGGAATCTAGTGGAAAATATATTAGAGCTTTATCGATGGGTTATTACGTGCAATAATAGATGATATTTTTAATATATTACGAATACATAATCAGTAAATCAAGTCTAAAAGTCGGGCGGGACCGACTTTATGATAACCATGCATATTTGGTAGAGCTTAATATAACAAATAAAAAAATTAAAAATAAAGCAAATCGGATGAACAATATATTTGGGAGCTATAGCTATATCTGAACCGATTTAAATTGAACATACTTCTATCTAGGCTCAATTTGGTCGTAAGTGCCAAATTCCATCCCATTTGGTCGAATATTATATGTTTGGTGCGTAATAAAATACAAATGGGAAGACATATATGGGAGCTATCTCCCAATTTTCTCCAATATCTATAGGGTCATCCTTGGGTCAAACAAATGACTTGTGCAATATTTCATCTTGATCAGGTAGTAAATGTAACCTGTACTTTGTTTACAAAAGTACATGGACAGACGGACGGACATGCATAAATCGATCATCAAAAGGAACTATGGGTCTATCTCGTTTCTTTTTGCCTGTTACAAACAAATGTACAAAGACATAATACCCTGACCATCTTGTGGTGTAGGGTATAATGACTTGGTCAGGTCTTTCAAAATGGAAAATAATTCAGATATCAAAATATCTAATCATAGGATTTGTGTCTTGAACATTTTCCGAGGACTTTGAAAACACCTAAATACATCGGTATAAAAGGACACACTAACTTTTCCGGCTAACTCCCCCATTTCTTTTTACATAAAAATCACCCACGCTATAAACAAAGAGGGACTATCATTACCATTTTTAAGAATTTTTTCTGAAAGGCCATCGGGATTTCAGTTTGGTGGATAAGTCAATTTTTAATTTTTTTTTTCAATTTTTAAAAATTTTCAAAGGTTTAAAAAAATTGGGGAACTCAGCGTAGAATATTAAAAAGGAGAAAATAAATGACGAGTATTTTTATACCCTCAGCCACATGGCTTGATACAGTCAAAACGAACCTCGTCGCAATAATGGTTTTAAACACTAGGTCTCTTTGGACCAAATCCGTTTTAGAACATTTGAAGTCGATCTTGCGATGTCCGTCCGTCTGTCTGTCTACTGGCTGGTTCGCACGATAACTCTCGAAAGGAGTATCCGATTTGATCAAAACTTCGTACATCGTAATATTATCGTCAAACTTAGATCGAGTTCGGAGATGGCCAATATCGGTTCACTCCTTCTTCTGCCTCTCCCACAATATGTCAACATTTTCAAAGAATATAATTTACTG